CGACTGACTGTGTTCGTAGAGGCAACTGACAGCACTCTAGGTGGAAGTGACTGCTGCAAGCGGATAACATTCGCCAACCAGTTGACAGCAAAGCAACCAACTATTCGATTCAGTCATTTGGGAAGGGAGGGAGGAGATAGCGCCCATCGGATCAGCTCATCTGCTAAAGAACTGGATCGCTGATCGCCGGGGGGCCGACAAAGATATCGCCAGCCAGGCATTCTCAGAAATACAAAACGTGCTTTCGGCGGATCGCACGTGCATACCACGTTTCTTATCTTCTTCCTCCATGTTTTTCTCTTTCACAACACATGAGAAACTCTGTCAGGCGTTCTCACTGACATCGCTTTTTTGAGCGCTACGAACCAGTTTGAAGTCAGGCACTCGGTAAGATGGCCGTGACCGAATCAACTTTTTTGTTATAATACTAGAGAACAGTTTCGTAGAAAAGCAGAATAAATTGAAGTGTCTCTAGTCGGTTCTGAAAGCACTTGTTGATACTCATGCTGGAGAAAGAAAAGACTCAAGGATCCAGGAGAACCTCCTGAAACCCAAGAACTAGTCTACCAGTCCCGTGTTTCCGTACCTTTTCTTCTCTTCATAGAATACTCCGAATTTGCTGCGATGAACTCGTAGGAACCTCTTCCAAGAGAAAAATGCTGGTCTTCAATCTCCACCTGTAAGGTGAGGGGACAGAAAATGTCGTACGGTACTGAGGGATTTCTGAGGACATACTATAATTAATAGTTAGCTGGGAGAGAGCAAATGGGATGGGTAATTCTGGTTAATTTTCTGATTTCTCCCGTTTCAAGAGCACTATAGTAGCCCACTTGAGTGGCTTCAAAAAAAGTAAAGTCATTGCAGATGATGAACAGGCCCATCATAGCTGGAGACTCCCCAACGGGGTGGTCGTGTTTGGTCTGAAAAAGATTTTGATAGTTGATTATTCTTTTCTTGTTTTTTGCGAACGTAAAAAGGGGGCGGCGTATTTGATTCGTTGTTGGGAGAAAGGGAGCAGGGCACAGCATTCGATGGGGATTTTGGTCGAGCTTTTACGACCCCCCCTTTTTTTCAGGGGCTGGTACGACCCCCCCCCTTTTTGGCGGCCAAATACGACCCCCCCCCCATAGGGAATCCCCATCGAACGCTGTGCCCTGAGAGGGAGGGGTCGTACTTGCCTTCTGAGAGAAATTTGCTTCGTTGGGAGAAATTTTTCCCGGTTTTTGGCTTTTGGCAGTTTTTCCTGTTTCGTGCTATATATTCCTCTCCCTCCCTCCCGCTGGACAGCTCGATCGCATCAGAAGAGGAAACCAGGAGGTGGGGTGGTACCAAGCCACCTCCTAGGGGGGATAGGGGTGTGACCACGGTCTCGACCAAAATCCTCAGCCAGTGATGTGCATCGATAATGAATCCTCTCGGGATGCGGCACACCCTCTGCTCTCATTAAAAATCGCAGTGGCTTACTGAACGCGATGTGGCCTATAATGTCTTGCGGGGGCCAGTAGGTGTACAAGTCAGTACTAGTCAGTGCCCCATCTTCCCAGGCGAGTTTGGTATCAATTCACCGTCCCCGGATGGTAAATGGAAGTTTGCATGGCCTGGGCAGTTCCGCTCTGGAAATCGGCCTCCGGACTGCGCGCGTGGTGCGTACCTCTCACCCTTACATCACCTCTCGACCAGCTCCATATGGTCCTACTGCGGAAAAGCTCACCGGTGCCATGGGATGGATCATGAATGTTGTAAGCAGTGTCACGCCGCTTTTTTTCTATTCCCAGGCAAAGTACTGACTGGGAACAGAAAAAAATCTAGAAAAAAATTTACTCAAACTGTTCCATCAGTCTTTGCTAGAGGGCTGAATCTTATAGGTATACCCTGGCTTTTGAATTAAGTTCACGCACTGCTAGAGTTCTGTTTTACCAATAGAACCGGTAGATCCGAATAACTTTTTTTTCCGCCGTTTCCAACAAGTGGACAGATTTAGAAATGGCGAGAAGCCATTATGAAAATTTGCTTTGAGTGAAACCGAAAAAAAGCTCGTTGGTTCGTCCACAGCTGATCCATGGCATGGCATCTTGAGAGCAGCATCACTCACCGACTACGGAATTTTTTCAAAGCGTCTGCTCCATTTTTTCGCCTTTCGATGTGCATTTAGTGATTTTTTTTATTCGCACTGACCTCTAGGGACTGCGCTCCTTTCAAAGGCAAGTGGCACGAAATCCCCAGGACGTGAAAGATTAAGAAGCCTAGAGCCAGAAATGGGCTGTGCAGGCGCTGCATGGCGCCTTTTCCAAGGAAGATACCCTCATAGCGCCCTATCGAGATGCTCCCAACGGGAAACTCGTCTGAAATTGCTTTCTGAGTCGTGTGAAACAAAGGCTTTTTCGCAGGTTTTTGACCGTTTCACTTCTCTTTTTTTGCCATTTTCCTCAGCACCCCTGCCACCTAGATCAAGTACCGGATTATCGTGCCTTACGCCTTTGAGCGACACATTTGGATGATCTCGAAAGACTTCAGTAATAAGTGAGCCCACAGAGAATCCTAGACTGGCTGATGTGCGGAGGACGCTTAGTTTGCAGAGGCTAACTGTTTTCCCAGTCTTTGTCCTCCGATCAACGACTCTTTGTGTTCCTACTTGCACGGGTCCGTCTGGGCCTGAACATTGGTAGTAATTTGGTCAACAGCGAGTAGAAACATCTGCAGTTCTCAGAGAAAGTCAAAAGCATAGAGATGTGCCATGCTTTTGACTTTCTTCCAGAACTGTAAATGTTTCTACTTGCTTTTAGCCAAACACTATCATAGCGGAGCAACCCTGTACCAAACAATGTTTGCCAATCAATCATCTGTTACCAGTTAATCGATTCAATCGATAAAGGGGAATAGTTTTTTGGTCCTACAGACCTAGTAATGGGAGCGGCATCCCTAGTCTTTGGGCTATCTTTTCTCCCCTTGAAAACTGATGCAGAGTAGCATAACTGTAGGTAAACCTAGGGTAGCCGATCCAGCGCAAGCTTTTTCCTTTGCCCAGAACACCTCCTGAAATCATTTGGATATTCATCTTCCACATTGTATGGCAGGTGGTAGACCAAAAGAGACTGGGACTAAATGTCGCCCGAATTTCTCTGACCCCACGATGATCCCTGATCGGATTGACCCCTTATTGCTGTTTCTGCAGACTTAAGACGCTCAACAAGTTATTAACCCATTTGGGGCCTGAGAAGATAAATTTTCCAGCGTTTGTCAATCATTTTTCGGGACGCGCCACGAACTTCACTTCCATTAAGGATGGTATTGTCATTTTGAATGCGAAATGTCCTTCACAGTAAGTTGTGGGGACCAGCCGATGCACAATGCGGGGTCTTTACTGTTTTAGACGGGCCTGGTGTTGGGGCGGGAGCCGATCGAGGATTGACCGCCGGTCCGCGTATGCGCTGAGCGGCGCCACTTACCGCTGAACCACTTCCACTCATTAAACCGTTTGAGTTCTTTTAGACATTTGATCCTTTTTCTAATCCATGGAAGAAGCCCTTTTTCGAGACAATCCATGGAAGAAGCCCTTTTTTGAGAACAGCGCTTCAGTTTTTCGATGGATCCAAAAAAATAATAGTTTGTACAGCGCAAAAAGAATGCGGAGTTTTTTCTTCGATTAAGTCTTGTACCAGCTGTGCAATCTATTAAATTTGCCAGAAGGGTAAAGTGGGCCAAAACGAAAGAATGTATGGTTCCCTCTAGTTCCAAAAAGAGTTTATTCCGCCGTCAGAAGAAAATCAATATCGATGCTCAACTAGGACACATCTGTAGAAATGCAATTAAGCGACCAATCGATTCAACGTGTTGAACAAAGGAATGATCTAACAAGGGGCAAATATTGGGCACCAGAGAACACGGCTCGTTCTCAAACCCAACGGGGCCTTATTCCGCTCCAGGATTCGTTAATGAATTTGTGTGATGCGTAAATTGTGGGTTCAAATTCCACTGAGTATTTTCTGAGTGTACTCGGATAACCAAGAATGCAAAAATCTGGGTTTAACAGGGAAAGGCCTGAAGCATTAACATGAAATCTTCGCAGTCTCTGAGGTACAAGTCGGCTGAGGAGCGACAAAACACTTAAAGGACCGCTTGTGCAAAACTGGGATTACTGTAAAATTAGATCGCATTTTTACACAAAGAAATTACTTCACCCACCTTCTAGCTTTTTCACTTTAACTATTTACATATCCCATTTCGGGACAAAGGACCTGACTAAGGTGCTACGCACCGAAATTGCAAAATAAGATATATTTTAAAAAACTTTCGAGATTTTTGGTGTCTTTTGAGTTTTTTGAAATAAAAAATTTTTGAAATAAAAAATTTTCGGAGTTTCACATTACTACACGTTCAGATAAGAAATGAGACTCCGGGGCAGCACAATACTCCTCCTCCGATATTTACGTCTCCATTATGGCGATCCTAGTTTTCCACTAAAGATCCTCTACACAAATGTCCGCGATCCTAGTTTTCCACTAAAGATCCTCTACATAAATGTCCCTCCCAGTACGCCGTATCCTCCCAATAACGAAAATGTTCCGAAAAATGGTATTGAGCAGGAAAGACCAAGTTGACTGGACCTGGACCTAGTCTTTGATCCTCAACTGAAGTGTTGTGCGTGTTCTGGTGAGATCAAAACCAGATCTAAAACAACGACATTGAACTCTGTGATCCTGACTCAAAAATGTTTCACATGGGGAAATTCTAACAGTTCACATTATGTCACGGACGCAGAAAACAATGACCCTGATTCTTTAGCTTTTTCGACAAGACCGTTCGGCGTCCGTTCTTCGTCTTTCAGTTGAGCGTAAAACCGTTTAAACGCAATTGCTCACAATGTGGCTAGATATGGAATCTGTCTGTTGACGATTACTTCCCGGCAAAGAGTGCCGTCGCGGTCATTGGCGGCGGGTGCTTTCCTGTTCGAGTGATTGCAGCAGATCAGAATGTATTGTAATGAAGACTAGTTAATTGTAATGAACTGTGACAAATGTCCATTTATTTCAGCTGTCTCGCAGCCCATGTTGGGCGGTTCATTCGGGCTGGCACCGACCCCTCCGCCCATCAATGACCAGGTGGGCACAATCTCTTCTTCTTCTTCTTCATGTAGTGGTGGTGGTCGTGTCGTGTGTCGTCATCGCCCCGTGTCTCTTTCCGCCTCTCTCGTCCACAACATCGCCTTTTTTTATTGCATCTGGGCCGACTTAATCGCCTTCTTTGTGCGTGTGTGTCATTGTCATTTACGATCTGCTCTGATTCTCCTTTTTTATTACCTGCATTTTATCTTTCGTTCGTCCATGACTGTTTATTTATTACCGTTTGAAAAGTGCTCATGAAATCCCCTAAGAAACCAGATTCATTCACCAAATTCCATTTGCAAAAAAAGGTCATGTTGAACATCGTCAAATGCTCGTCTATTTGGAATCTCCCATTTGGGATACCCGCATTCCGGGTCGATCGATCCGATTATCAAGGGGTGGAGACGAACGGCGTGTGCCGGTGTGATCAGTCGCCGCCGCTGCGACTGACCTCGCGCCACCGGGCGCGATGGGGCGCGCGTTCGCCGCGGTTCGCGTCGGTGCCAGGCGCGTGGCCGCGACAAACATTTCGTGGACCTCGAATCGGTAGCCCATCTCGCGCGATCCTATCGCTACTCCCCATCATGTGTACTCCGAACCAGAACATCTTTCTTTGTGCTGACGTGGTGTTCCTAGAAACCCCGTCCCTAATTTGAGTTTTTTTTGTTATTCATGCTTGTCTTCAGCACGAGATGCACTGCGTGTCACGGCGTGCGGTCTCCAATATGCCGGAACTCCCACGAAACTCCACTAATGTTTTCTCACCCCTTTTTCTTGCTGGCCTTCAACCCCAAGTAGTGGGTCCTCAGGTTGCTGCCCTTTTTGTTTGGCTCGGCCAAGTGTTTCTTGCTTTTTCTGTCCTTTCTGTGATGGTAAATATTAACAGAAGAGGCCTTTTCGCTGGCTCAATCTCACGATCTGTTTCATGCTAGGTATTTCGCCCTACAGCTCAGAAGTAATGGTTTTGTAGGCGCTCAAGAAATTGTTATTTTTTTCTGATTCCCTCTAATCCGCTTTACGACGTCTATAGGGATCGTTAAGCGTTTTGATGTGCCCAACGATATTCACTTGAGGGATTTCCTGTTATTCCCAGAGCAATAACAACTACAGTTTTGGATTTACGCGTATTTATTGACGTCACAGGCAACTACAAAATCGTTTTGGGATTTTGGGGTTAAACGAACTCAACAAGTGTTAAGTTGGCCGTAAGTTCCTTAGATGAGCCCCGAACTTCTTCCGTGTCATTTGGCCAAGTTGTGGACGAAATTAGCTGCCCTCTCACGGGACTGCGGCGCAGACCAGTGGCTTCTGCTTGGAAATCTATCTCATCTATTTGTTCTGCCTGTCTTCCCTGTTCTGGTTTAGTTCTCAGCTTGATTTACCTGATTCATGTCAGAATCCCGTCATTTTCAGGTGGTGAAGTGTCCACTGTGCCAGGAGCCGTTCCGCGAACCAAAGGTCCTCGCGTGCTTCCACTCATTCTGCAAGGCTTGTCTCGAACGACAGATTGACTCTGCTGAACGCATTGTTTGCCCACAGTGTCACATGGAGACACAACTGAGGTACGTTCAATCACAGAATTTATATTTTTCTCGACCCTAATTTCTGATTTTCTTACGGCTTGATATTTACATAAAATTTCTATTGTTTAGCGTACAACTCGGCCTTGACTCCCTCCTTTCCGACTATGGACTTGAGGCAGTCCTGTCTCGCCCTAACGTGATTGATGACAAAGGATTGCTCTTCGGCTCTCCTAGTTCTACTTCATCATCTCCTCCCCTTTCTGACTCACCATGTGATCAGGTATTACTTTGGTTATTTTTCTTGTTAACACGATGTCCAGCTCTAGTTTAGTTAGGTGCGGCTTCCGCAGAGCGCTCAGGGCACTTGGAACCACAAAAACTTTTTTTACTATAAACTAACAGAAAGCTTTCTGCCTTAGCATGGGGTAGCCCTTAGGTTGATGAAGTTTCACCCATCGTAATTCGGCCTGCGTGAAGCTCATGGTAAATTCCCTCTCCTACCTCGAAATCGTTTCTTCGCACCCTACAGCACAAAATATTGTCCAGCATAGGAAAAATTAGGCAATATTATGTAGAAAAGAAGTTAAAATAAAAGGATTAAGTCTTCGCCGTTAATCAGTCCGTTTTTGGGATGCGGCACGCATCTCCCATTCAGAATCGTAGTGGTTTATTGATTTGTTGTGGCCCACAATGAATCGCGGGGGCCAGCGGATCTACAAGTCGGTGTCCACCCAGACTTATCTGGTGCCAATTCACCGTGCTTGGAGGATAGAAGGCTTGGTTGGCCTGGGCGGGAGCCGATCCAGGATTAATCCCGGGAACCTGCGTGTGATGAGTGTGCCACTGCGGCACATCTTGGAAAAAAGTTGACGCATCAAAAACCTTTTGCTGAATTGCAATCACCGTAATTCATACCCATACCCTCCCATAAATCGCGGCACTTCACTGCGCTCGGACTTTGGTTATTTTGAATTCTCATAATTTATAGAACTGTTTGTGTGCGATGACATCTTAGACATGGGTTTTTCTTGAATATTTCACAAAACCTGAATATTTCAGAACTCTAACACAACCAACCGCTCGGCTTGTACTGGATGCAAGTCTGGTGAGCGTGCATCCCACTACTGTCAAGAGTGTACTCACTATCTTTGCACCAACTGCACAATGGCTCATCAATACATGCACTGCTTTGAGGGACACCGTGTAGAACCGATTTGTCAGGTTCAGGTTCGCTACTCACTCGAGGTTGTTAGTGATAGTGTTGTCCATTAGCTACTTACTTTTATCTGGTTTTCTCCATCATATTTAGTTAATTTTTTTAGCCATCGATGCCACCCTCTAGTGCTGCTTCGGCACATGAGCGATCTTGCAAATGTCTGCAACATCGTGCCCAGCCGTTGCGCTTCTTTTGCCTAACATGTAACCTGGCGATTTGTCGCGAATGCACCTTGGTCGAACACGCCCAACCTGCGCATCAGTACGAACCCATCACTGAGGTAAGGTTACAAATTTTTTGTTACATTCGGGATGTAATTCTTGGCGCAGTTCGGCTAAGGGGGATTTTGCACTTTCGCTGCTTCACTAGTTCCGGTTTACAAGTCTCACTCTGGTGAAACCTGTGAACTCTCATGAAGCTCGAGAAAGTTCGTAGAGCTATTATGGTAGAATGGCATGTTATGGTCAGCTCCTGTGAGATAGTGAAACAGCTCCTCAGATAGATCAGCACTTCGATGGGAATTGGCAGAAGTACAACTGCCCTCCCCTGCACGCCGAACTGCCCCTAATTCTCTACTGTTTGTCGCTGCCTTTCCTTGCTGTCCTTTCTTCTTGGGTATTTGTTACCCTTCATGAAATACATCTTGTTTTACAGGTTGCTGACAAACAACTCAGTACGATGGAAATGCTGGTGAATGAAGCACGCAACAAGCATATGGATCTCTTAGAGATGTTCAAACAGGTTAGTCAACATTTCCTTAGCCCGCAGATTCTCGTCTTCTCTTAGAACGAATGATCTCCTCGGATGCATTATGAGTTTTCATCGTTAAACATTTAGGTGGACGCCTCTCAACAACGGTTAAGTGCTAGTCTAAGCCGTGCTCATTCACAGCTTGACGAAAATGTCAACGCTCTGGTGCGTATCATTGATGAGGCGCGTAAGTCTGCAGCCAAAGAAATCGATACTGCGTTCTCTGCTAAACAGGTAATGCCCTACTGCTTGTTGGGATTTTGCTCGAAACATTTCGAAAGAATGCCACATGCAAGCAATTATAAGTGTAATGCGTGCGCTGTGATAGTTATATTGCTAGACTTTGATGTTCTCTGAGGGGGATCGTGAATTTCAAGGGGATCGGAGGAGGGCAGACATCGTAAATATTAGTGTTGGCAGATATGTAAATTGCAGCTATTAGGCGGCCATTTTTACAATGAGTAAGTAGCTTAAAGGGGGTCACATAAAAGAGCGCATCACATTGTTTCCTCTCCTGCAGCATGATTGACTCTCTGCCTAAGAGAGGTGTTAGAAAGGACAACCCCTGGAAGTTGCTCAAAGAAATCGCGTTGTCGCTCGGAGTGACGTGCTAGGCATTGGAGTTTCGCCAGGGGAGCATTTTTCAAGAAAAGCTAGAGCCCAAATGATAAAGTTGAATTTCGATCCCAGTGTTTAATTTGCATTCATCCATTCAATGACATATTGAAGGCGGATTCTTGAAAATTTTTGATTGCAAGTTGCACAGGGATTCCCTACATCGATTAATAATGTGCGCCGTGTGCTGGCGACCTCGAGAGAATGAACTAGAATGGATGTTCCCATTGTGTTTGCTTTCTGCACCTGTCATACGAGACGCGCATGGTGGTGCGCTCAAATAACTGACCGATTGACTCCTCGTCGACACATGGGTTTCTACCCAGTTTTTGGCGTTGCGATGTGAAGCGGTCCAAAAAAAGTAAAAAAAGAACAGAGGTATTTAATGAATGTGTAAATTTCCGTTCGTTGGCCACTTTAAAAGGCCCGAACAAGCTTGCCTCTTTTGACCCAATCTGAACTGATGTCACAAAAATCAGTTGAATTTTTTTAGATACAGCTAACCATGGTGGATAAACGTATCCAACAGATGACCGAAAAACTTAGTCAAACGATCGACTTCACAACGAGGCTTGTAAAGTATGCGTCCCCTACTGAAGTTATGGTGTTCAAACAACTTCTTGATACCCGACTTCACCTCTTTCTTGCGTTTAACCCTGATGTAAGTTTGAATACTCTCAAAAAAGATCAGCTGTTCAGACATCAGCTTCTTCAGGCGTCAAATGCTCTCGGGTCATCATGTGAGCTGGAGCTGCCACCGCTGAACCTCACGAATGCCCGCCAAGCCATTCAAGGCTTATTCGGACAAGTTCGTGGTGGAGCAGCTGATTGGAGTGGACAAGCTAGTTCACAGACGGGAATGCCTCCAACCCCAATAGGAAGGCCACCCAGCAGACAGGTGCGTTCGAAACCCTTGTTGAATATAGTTCAGTCATTTTGATTTCACATTATCAAAGATAACTAACAGGATTAATTGCAAATAATTTAAGCTCGTGCGCTCCCCGCCCCAAGCTCACAGTGTTCCCCTTGCGCCAAGCGTGTTCTCTGATTCTAACAACTTCCTTCGTCCGAGAAATGAATTTGGTGGTTCTAGCCAGTCTCTCGGAAATTTCGCCAGCGACGTTTCTTCCTCTCTAGTGGGTAGTTTTCTTTTTGGAAGTTCTTTGATAACGTTTTATCAGAATTTACTTCTGAAAACTATGCTTTCGCAGATTTCCTAACTAAGGAGCTATTGCGCATTCAATCTTCTCGCAGCTTCCTAGCTTCCTAGCTATCTTTCTTGTGCTTTGCTACCATTTTATGATCGCTCGCTTAAACTTACTAGTAATTGTTCGACGTTCAGCTTGCCTATCGCCGAGAAGACGCCATTTTGCGCTTTCCATTCCTAATTGCAGCTAACATAGCCTATATTTCGAAACTGATTTATCAAAGCAGGACTGTCGCGCTTGTCTGCTTTCCTGTGACGCTTCTTCTTAATTCTAACAATTGCAGGTATGGTAATCTTTTTGAAGAACTCATGAATCATCATTTCAGGATGCATGTGGACTCCCCCCGGTCTACAACCATTATGATAAATGGTCCATCGGAGTAGAGCCCAGCCTTGGTATGCTCGAACCAGGAAATATCGAAGACGAAAAAATGGGCCCACTGTATCCACCGAGGTAAGCTCTATACAATAATTCTTTTCTTTTTTTTGTTATCAATTTCGAGAATAGCCTTTTGTGGCTTATCCCCGCGCTCGAGCAACTCGTAGGCGGGCTTCTTTGTACAACTAGCCTAGCCTACCTCCCCTCCAGTCTGTGAGATTATTCCTCTTTCGCGGCTTTAATGAGTAACGAAGGCGCTGTGGTCCTCAGAAGTGGCAGTTCTGGAGCTTCCCCAGTCGCCCCGTCCACTGAAACTCGAGTTTTTTGTTATGACTCAGTTTCTGAATCGCTTTTTTCCTTTTTCTTTTTACTGTTTGGTTACATGGTGTTAGCATTGGATGAAGCCAAGGAATCATTAATGTGCCTGTGGCGGCGGAATATCGTTTTTCTGGAATAAGAGCGGTCGGAAAACTCGTCCAGAGGGGCTGCCAGGTGTTGATTTCGGGTGTTCTTTATGACTTTTTTTGCTTTTTTCCCCTGGAGTTTCATTCAGCGACTGTTTTTAGGTGAACGCTCTTTCCAAACCGAGGGAATTCCTTCAAGCTCAGTACTTATGTAAAACGGTGAATAGGGAAGACCTTGATCATCATGTTTCCCTGTAAAGGGGTCTCTACTCCTGGCTACCCCCATTGCTGAGGCCAATCATGTTTTCTGACCTGCAGAGACGAATGATTGGCCCTTAACTGGCTATGAAGTTTTGAAGTCGAATTTATATCTTCGGCAGTGGCTGACTCAATTTCGAAAGCATATGTATTTGAGAAATTTGATGTTAAACAAAAGTAGTGATTCTCATGCAGATGTTTCGGATTGAGATCCATCTTTCTGAACACCACGCTTTCAGCCGATCACAGATAAGTCGTCAGAAGATGATTTATCACTGCAAATTCGGTGAGTTTGGTGTCATGGAGGGTCAATTTACCGAGCCATCCGGAGTGGCCGTGAACGCTCAAGGTGACATTGTTGTTGCTGACACGAACAACCACCGTATCCAGGTTAGCCTATGAATATTTGTCTGTTTGTTTACTCCTTTTTTTGGCCTTCTCTTGCTGCGATAACAATTCGTTTGTTCAGGTGTTCGATAAAGAGGGGCGATTCAAGTTCCAGTTCGGTGAGTGTGGCAAACGGGATGGACAACTGTTATATCCTAACAGGTTTGTTAAAATGCTGCACTTAATGCTTTTTAAAAAACTGATAACTGTGACATGACTCCAGTAAAGTTGATCACCTATAAAGAGAACAAACGGTGTATTAGAATCTTGTTCCAGAGTGGCGGTAAACAAGATGACCGGCGATTTTGTTGTAACCGAGAGATCTCCTACACACCAAATCCAGGTGTATAACCAATACGGCCAATTTTTACGGAAATTCGGAGCTAACATCCTTCAACACCCCCGCGGAGTTTGTGTCGACACCAAGGGCCGCATTATCGTAGTGGAATGCAAGGTTTGTTGCTGTTGCCGTAGAAAAGGTGCACAGATTTTGGAGCTGGTCTACGTCCGCAATCTACCACCTTAATGTCAGTTACGTGTTGGGCCGCGATTATTGCATGATTCACGACATCACATGACGTCTTATGACTTATCGTTGACGTGGGAGATACGAAGTCTTGGTTGATAAGCTATTTTTCACCAAGGAAAATCCCACCATGGCTTGGAGGCACTAAATACACCTCAATAAGTAAGAATCGAAGAAATTCAATTCACTGACACGTAATATATTGGACTGCGGACCCTCAGTGGACTAGCCCCCCTCCCCCTTCCCCCATAACTGTCTTATAATATTCATCAAAGTATTTCTTTAGGTGATGCGAGTGATCATTTTCGACATGTTCGGGAATATTCTGCAGAAGTTTAGCTGCTCTCGCTACCTCGAATTTCCGAATGGAGTGTGTACGAATGATAAGAACGAGATCCTCATTTCTGATAATCGTGCTCATTGCATCAAGGTTTGCATCTTTTCGTAGGGAAACTCTTCATGTGTACTTCCATCTGGTATTGGAATATTGTAGGTATTTTCCTATGAGGGACAGTTCCTCCGTCAAGTTGGCGGCGAAGGGATCACCAACTATCCGATTGGTGTGGCCATCAATGCGATGGGTGACGTTGTTGTGGCGGATAACCATAACAATTTCAATCTCACTGTGTTTTCACAGGTAGGCGAGTCTTTAAGCTTTCGTGAGATAATGGCTGCTAGTCATACACTTGTGGATGTAGTTCGGGACACAGAGTCATCGCGAGCAAACTAGCATTCCCACGTGGTCACCCCCATCACCGGCCGTAGCCTTTTGACGTCAAGTTTACTAGTCCATGGCAGTCTACGCCCTGTACCGCATATTTACGGCCTTATTCAGACAATTCCACAATATATTAGTTATTTCCTTCTTTTCGCGTTGAGAACCATTGCCAGATTCATTTTTCAACCGTTCTAGTTCGCTGCGAATGAAGGGGCGTGTCAGGCGGTCTGAGCGTGCACTCGTTCTCTGTCGGTTGTTGGAGAGTATTATGCGACCATCATCCCGCCTGACATGCCTCTTTGTCCGCAGCGTATTAGGCTGATACAAGGACATCAGCTAGGTCGGTGGTACCTGAAACATGTAACAGAAGAGGGCAAATTGTTGACAGTGGAATTTTTGAGATACGGGCGTAAAATTAAACGGTAAATGGGGCCTAGCCTGCCCTCAACTAATTGATTAAGCGCAAAAGTGCAGTGTAGAGTCATTAAATAAGAACACTACCTCTTTCTCAGCTGACACCCCGCCTTTTCTGTCCTGAACTACACCCTGAACGTTTTGCTCGATGAACTTTCGACATATTCTTTGTATTTGCTAGTGATTTTTAATGGAACTTATGTTTAGGATGGCGCTATGATTGGTGCTCTTGAATCCAAAGTGAAGCACGCCCAATGCTTTGATGTGGCGTTGGTGGACGAAAGCAGCGTTGTTTTGGCATCAAAAGACTATCGCCTCTATCTGTATCGTTTCCAACGCAGTGCTGGTGGTAATCAGCAGTAGAACTATCTCATGGTTCACCATCATTTGAACAGTAGCTGGTGCAGGTCTCTGGCTTTTTATACTTCATCATCACCTGTTGTGGTTTTACGAAACTATCGACGACTAACCATTTCCTTGAATGGAATGTCTGTTGCTGTTATGGCTTGCACGTAGTCTTCTGTTAGGGGGTGCGTCAGGCTGCACATTGTTGAGTCCCTCATCATTACCTAATTCGACTTCCCGATGTCCCTGTTGTTTGTCATTTTGTTATAAGTTTCTTGGTTGGTTCTTAGCTCTTTTGTAATTCAATTGTGTTTAAGTGTTTTCACTGTGTGTGCGTGTGTGCGTGGTAGGACAACCAAGGTCGCGTACTGAATAGTCGAAGAGGAAGTGCTTTTTCGTGGTATGTGTGTGTCTCCTCAACGTGAGAAAATGGACCATGTAGGATGAGCAGTCGATCAATCGTAGCTGAGTCTTTGTTCCCACGAGTAGTGCGTATGTCTCCACGTGACGATCGTTTGGTCAGAGCTTTTCCCTTCCGAACGCTTCGCTACCGCCCCGGTTTTAAATGTCGGTATAAGTTTTATCCATTTGTTATCGGCGGGGGCCTCACCCCCGCTCTCTCTGTTAAGCACTTGTAAAATGCACATATACATACTTTTATTTATTTGAATGTTGTTTTGTAATAATTGTAAGATAGGCGCGCTTGGGTGCTTAGGCGCGGCGGGCGTTGAGCGTCCCCCGATTGTTGCTCTTCTTCTCTCTGTTTTGGTTATATTGTTAGTGCGCAACTGCCGGCCAGTAAGTGATACCGATTAGATATGTCGGCGCTGGCGGAAACTACTAATCCCCGTATGTTGCTGCGTACCTTATCGTTATCTACCCGTTCTTAGATTTTCTGTTTATGAGTTTCGATAAATTGTTTTTTGTTTTGTGTGTCCTTGTATGAATACTTAAAATAGAATTTATTGGAAAACATGCGTATTTTGCCTGTCTTATCACATCGTTGCTGGGAAAAATGTTGTTTTCGAGAGAGCGATATGATGGTCAGACGGAATCAGTAGTTGTTTTGGTAGAGACACTCACGTTCAGACTAACTAGCATATGCAGTGTAAGTAAAAAGAATGTCACTGTTTCGAAAGATGAAAACTCGATAATAAAATTGAGCAGATGGGATGTTTATGTAGGGGTTCCCGGGTTCAGAGATCATTACAACGGTTAACTAGGAGAGACAATTGAAAACACATGTCTGAACGGGAGATGAAGGAAATGTGGAACGGGCAAATAGATATGAGCGCCACTGAACATATTGATTGGGTAAGTTTGGAACGTGAACAGTGTACAGTGCACAAGATTTGTCCTCAGATGTGGCCCTTTTACTTGGGCAAAATAAAACTGATAAGTATGTCCGTGTGAAAGAATCCAAGTGCAGCTTTCTGTAAACCTCGGCATGGTGAGAACAGTGTAGGTCGTCTTTTACTGAACTCTCGCGAAGTTGGTAAAAGACTAGGGGCATACGTACATACGTTTCTGTGGAACCGCCTTCAACAGAACCGTGACAGCCCGATCATTGAGACCGGTGGGAAGGTGGCCGTTGAGTGACGTCGGACTGATCTTCATTCTTATGTAAAGTATGCTCTCCAGCTGAGCATCTTCCGATATCAAGAGGGGAATGGAAGCTGCCCGAACTATTTGCTCGTATTCCTCAGAAATAGAGAGTATTCAGTGCTGTTTTCACTAAGGTGGAGCATTTCAGGAACTCGTTCTGGGAGCATAGGGAGGAAGGGTTTCCGGAGGCAATTACTTTTTGAAGAACGAAGTTCGGGGTACAGCACCGTTGTGTGAAACACATGGGGTCATAGTTGGCCGCTGGGGAAGGGGGGGGGGTCGTATTTGGTAGTTGTTTGGAGAGCGGGGGAGGGGAGGATAGTATGTGGTTTTGAGAGAAATTTGCCACGCTGAGGAGAAGTTTTCCCCGATTGTCGACTTTTAGCAGTTTTTCCCATTTCACATTGGGTATACCGCCTTCCCCGCTTAAGGAAAATCGGAAAAAGAAGTAGGAATTTGCAAACTTGGAGGAAAGTGGCAGCTAGGCCGTACCGAGATCCTCTCTGAGGGGGGAGGGTCGCTACTGACATCACCTATTATTTTCACGCATCACAGATGCTGTCTCTGGTTGCCATCCTGAATCGGCAATCAACGTGAGCGAAACAAAATGAAGCCCTGGCAGCGTTTCAGTCCCTCCACACGACCCATGGTCCTCACGGGGCATGGTGTAGTTGAGCAGGGCCTCGCGTCGGTGCGGTATGTCGGCTCGCTGTGTTCATACTTCGAGCGGGGTCTTATGATATGATACTCGTTGCAACAACTGCCTCCACCGCTAATCGTTGGCTGCTAGCACTGCTAACCAGGTAAGTTCATCGTTAAACAACTAATCTCCTTTTTTGGGGCGCCCACTCTCTCCTACTTAAATTAAATTGGTGTCTCTGAGAAAAAAAAAACTCACGAAAGAAAATCAAAAAAAGCTGGCATAGTGCCATACTTTCTTCGATGGGAGTTCTTACTCCTGAGGTGATAATGCAGCACCAAGGACCAGCAACTACTTGGAAGTAATTCTTTGTAGGACTATTTTTTTTATGGGGGGGGAAGTGCTAAGAGCTGGGGAGGGTGAACCGCGTTCCACCCTCAGCCATGCAATCATTGTTTTTTTCCTGTGCTTGAGCAGAAAAAACTTGTCCTGACCCGCATCATTGATGATAACAATAGAAACGTCTTTAATTGCTAAACTTAGGTCGAAGTAAACCATGTTGGAATTACGCTCTCTGCATAAAAAATAATACAGTTAATTTGGTCAGCCAGCCAATCTCTTTACCAGCAACTCTCCATATGTAAAATGGAATCTTTTCAATTGCTGGTTTTGTGAATGCCTAAGCGGGTGAACCTCCCATAACCCATCTGAGCATCTAAATACCTCATTTCGATTGAATAGCGGTTGGTCACGTACCACTCAAATCTCTCAGTGGAGTATTTTACGCAGCCGTTTCTCTGCAGTTCGACAATGCGATGTACGTAAACACACTCGCAGTAATACTCTACGGATGCTCCGGGAACCATTACAGCGTTTACGAGGTTTTGTAGGAAGTTCCGGGGTAGCAGTAGGAACTTTAGCGTCAATGTTGCTATTTTAGTCTGAAGTTGCCCCTTCTGTAAAACTCATTGCTGTTATAAACAATTGGATGCCATGTCGTTTACCAACAAGGCCATAAGTGTTCATTTTTTTTGCCCGATACTATGACTACTTTATGAACCTCCCTGGGACGCTAGGAAGCTCAAAGGCATAAGGCATGGTTACTTGGTATGTACTGGCTAAATAGTAGCAGGGGTGCCATATAGCGGAAAAATTACGAAAAGGCGAGGTAAAATTGCTAAAAACCTCCGGAAAAACGTTTGCTCTGCATGGCAGTGGACGAGCATCTTTGGACGAGTTTCCCGTTGGCATCATGCCGGCGACCGCTTTGATAGATACGGTTGCACGTATGTATCCATATATCAATGTAGCAACGCTTCAAATCATAAATGAAGCGATAAGAGTACCAGCATCGACGTGATGGCCATTTGTGGGCGGGCGGTTGCGGTGGGCGTTCGGGTCGGCATGTAGCACTTTAATTAGGCGCTGTAATGGCGCCCCTTGGTTGGAACAGGCGCCACGTAGCCCTATCAATATTCTTTGTGCTAAGCGTGTTACTCTATACGCCTTGGCGATTTATCATGCCACTTGTCTTTGAGATGGCCACATGAACAGGAATTTTCTCATCGTGTTGGAGCTCATTTTGCTCTCATCAGGATTTTTGCTGGCTTGAGCAGGACCTTTTGCGAAAGAGTGCAAGTACAGTTTCTCAGCAAGTGATGTTAGATAAGGATGATGATGCGAAGCTCAATTCAAGGAAGAAGATGTTCTCACAACAGCAAATTAAGTTTCTTGGTGAGCAAGCCAGTTACAGGATTTGAATTCCATTGAAAATGTGTGAAGCTGTAAACTGGAATGATGTAAAAGAGAGTAGAGTCGAAGTATCAAAAATCGTGATCCTCTAAGAGCGTTTATTGAAGGGTCAGATTAAATTAGAAGCTGCTAGGAACGTACTGACGACATTGATCGCTTCTACGCCAATTCTGGCGAAGTTAAAAGGGAAGAAAAATCTCGCACTTTCCATCCTCAGTTTTCGAATGCGCACATCTGGACTCAAAATAATCTTTCACCGGTCATTATAAAATTGTTACAATTTTTATTATCAACACACTTCTGCCATCGAGTAACAACTTTGTTTATTCTTCTCGTATAGAAGTTCGGGATTCAGGGGCCATAAAATCAATTACCGTCACAGCGTCATCATGCTGACTTTTGAAACATTATTATTCTCCGAGAGTTGTCGAAACCTCTGTGGAAAACCTGGTCGGGAGAAGGGGAGGGAGGAGGGGGACCCAGCGATAATGATGGATGGTTAAAGTTTCTCGTTCAATTCCACCCAAGTATGTTGTTCGATGTGGAGCCAAGCGTGTCGTAGAGTGGAATCGGCCGCTTCCTGTTGACCAGTGCCGAGCTCATGAGCTGAGATCGTGCTCGGCACTGGTCAACAGGAAGGGGCGATTTCAAATTTTGTCGGTTTCTTGACAATACTTTTCGGTTCAATGGCCCCGCGCAGATCCATGGAACTGAGGGGGACCAAGTCAGCTGCAAAGTACCGAGCCATAACCATAACCTTCTTTCGGTGTCGCTTCGGCTTGGGAAAATGTTTGGGGAGCTTAACTCTTGCCCAACCCTGAAGGGATCGTCGTCGACGTCGTTGCATGGTCCTCTTCTCATCACACGTCAGGATACTGTGTAGTGAGGAATCATTCTTGTTGCGTGAAAGCAGGGCGGAGGAGATCTTGAAGCGACGATCTCGTCGACTCAACCGTATGGCACCCATTAATCAAGCCCCCTTGATTTTCCCATCTTTTGCACATAAGTATATGTAAATTCAGCTCGAGGCCATGTCCTTCAACTCGGATTCTCTTCGATTAATGCGCTCAGTTGTTCGTTGCCAACATCCGATGGCCACCCACCACGCTGATCATCTTGAAGGATCTCGTCGCCGGTAGAAATTTTTTTGAGTCACAATTGCGAGGACGTTCATTCGTCGGTTCGTTGGTATCGCAAGCCGTTTCCACAACTCTCCTGATCATATTAGTTGAGGGAAGAAAAATTGGGAGAATCTGCTGATTGCAAAGTCAGTTTCGACCATCTGGGATACTCCGAAATCCTACTATATATAATCGGCTATGTCCGTGTGTGTGTGTCTGTGTGTGCGTCTGTCTGTCTGTCACGAAATTCATAGCGAGCGTCGCAGAAAAGATAGGATGACAGTTCCAAGAAGTGATATACATGGCAGGACGGGAACACTTTTGGTGGGTGACAGGAGGTGATAACACTTGATAAGATTCGATAAGGGGCCTTAGAAGGGGAGGGTGACCGAAATCGTAGCGCGAGTTGCAGCAGCTGCGGGACCTTGATTTCAAGGAGTGATATACAAGGCAGGACGGGAACACTTTTGG